ACCTTAGGGTTGCTGGCCTCTTGTTTTCCCAGCCTGTCTTATGGGGGAGGGGCCTGCCGTGCTGTTCCTCAGGCTCCTTTATTCTATCAATGTGGAATGTCACATTTATTGATTTGTGTATGTTGAACTATCCTTGCATCATCATAGGGATGAATCCCATTTGGTCATGGTCTGTGATGTTTTTAATGTGCTATTGAATTTGGTTTACTAGTATTTAGTTGAGAATTTTTGCAGCTGTATTCATCAGGGATGTTGGCCTGTAGTTTTCTTATCGTATCCTTATCTGCCTTTGATATCAGGGTAAAGGCTGACCTTATATAAAATAAGTTGGGGAGTGTCCCTTCTCTTCGATTTTTTTGGAAGAGTTTAGGAAGAATTGACATTCATTCTTCTTTAAATGTTTGGTGAAATTCACCCATGAGACCATCTGGGCCTAGGCTTTTCTTAGTTGCTTCCCTGTTTTTCAACCCAAACCCTTTAAGTTTGTCCTAATGCAGTCTTTCTCTGCATTTGTCTTAATGTGGAGTAAGGGTAGCAGATGCTGCCTCCCCACTCAAAGGAAAGGTACAGAAAAGACTTTCCATGTCTTTATGGACATGTGAAATTAGGCGTTTACCTATAGTCCACCCTTTTCCAAGTAACTAGATTACATTCTGTTGAAAAACGTATTCGTTTTAAGTTTATTAAATAATACATTTATATTTAATGTAAGGTCTCTGAAGTAGTTCTAAAATGCACTGACACATTGAGACTAGTCTGAATCTTTATGAGCCCCTCTTTTAAATGCTGTTTTTGTCTTTGGGCATGTTTTGCGATGTGATGCTTATTTCCTAGAAAAGTAGCCTAACTTTGAAAATTCAAGAAGTTTTTTGAACTTTGCACTATAACCTAGGATTGTGCTAGATTGCTTCTAGGAAATTTGAACCCCTTATTAGCTGTGTAAACTCAGTTGCCCATATAAATGGAGAAGAGTGTTGATGTGGAAAATGCATATAAAGTCTATTTATATACGGCTTTGGAAGATAGACTTTAATGTGGGAGTCCTTGCCAAGTCTCCAGTGCAGAGCACTGGAGGACCCTTCTGTGAAGCTCCCAGGCAGCTCTGATGCTGTTGGGACTGTTACTGGTGAAACTTCTGTTGTCAGCGATCTGTGTCACCCTGGGTCACGTTATCTGATCATTAGTTTGTTGCCTTTGCTGTCCCATCTTCCTTTTCCTAGTCCCTAAATGTGGCTGTCCTTGCCAAGAGTTGGTCTCATTCCATGCTCTTACCATGTTAATTTCCAGCATTTGTTGAGGATAGAGTCGAATTGGTGTTGGTTGACCCGTTGTTCTGTAATGCAGGCATGTAAGTCCAGGTGTGAGGGTAGTTGCCACTTAGGAATTACCCAGTGTGGGCCAGCATTGAGCTTTCCGATGGGACAGTCTACCTGGATGTTCCATCTTCAAGAAAAACAGCTATGAACATGCATTTAAAACTTCAGATATTCTACAGTGCACCAGGGATAGTATGGTTATTATAAGCAGGATAATTTACAGTATTTGAAGTGTACTTTAGAGCCATGGTCCCCAACATCCAAATCAATCAAAATCAAAGCAGTCAAAAGACCCCATCCCACTGAATTCTACCCCCCTCCCCAAGCCAGTGCTTCATCTTCTGTTTTGTTTTCCTGCCTCTGTTAAGGAGAGAGCTATCCTTGATACCAAGCTAAGAACTGTGCAGGTGGTGTTTTAAAAGAATGCTCTTGGGGCACCTGGGTGGCTCAGATGGTTAAGCATCTGCCTTCAGCTCAGGTCATGATCCCAGGGTCCTGGGATCGAGCCCCACATCGGGCTCCTGGCTCAGCGAGGAGCCTGCTTCTCCCTCTGCCTCTGCCTCTCTCCCTGCTCATGCTTTCTCTCTCTCTCTCTCTGTATCTCTGTGTCTCAAATGAACAAATAAAATCTTTAAAAAAAAATAAATAAATAAAAGAATGCTCTTTTTGCATGGACAATTTTTCAGATACAAGGAGAGGAAATTGGTGGATTGGAGCTAGTAAATATTTGTACATTTTAAACATTTACATCTAAGGATGTTTAAGTCACCAAAATTTCCTAAGTTTCCATGAATTTCTGTGGGTTATAGAACTTCAGCTGTCTCTGTGTGGTAGCCAAGGGCTGGGTGTATGTTCTTATTTCTGTCACTTGTAATAAGTAACTAACGTGTAACCATATTATGTCCTTTTAGAAAGTCTTTTGGAATCGTTTTAAATTGTTTACCAGGAACTCAGAATATTTCATACTTTTTTATGTAGCTTTCTCTTTATATGGATAAGTTTGAAGAATTCCAGACTACCATGGCAAAAAGCAACGAACTGTTTACAACCTTCCGGCAGGAGATGGAAAAGGTATTTACATATTTTAGTAGAATATGACCTAAAAGGGAATTTATAGAAGAAGCTGTTTTAAACACGGTCACGACCTGGATGAGTTGATGTTCTTATTGTACAGTCTTCATTTCCTCTTTTCTGATCCTCCAGTGGTGTCTCATTTGGTCATTTTGCCCATGGTGTGCCCCACGTAGCTAGTGGTCTCTCTGCTTATTTTAAATACTAGCTTTATTAAAGTTAATTCCTCTATTAAATACAATTTGTTGTTACACATAAAGTGGTTTCTTTTTTGTTGTGTCTTTTACCCCTCCTTCACAAAGCTCTGTGTTTTTGGAGATTATTTAAAGACAACCAAGCCCAGAACAGTAATTACACATTTTGGTTGGTTGATTTTATATATACATACACACACACACACATTTATGTATGTATCTTTATTTATATGTAATCAAAATATGTCAGTGTTTCCACCTTTTTTTTTTTTTAAAGTAATCTCCACACCCAACATGGGGCTCGAACTTGCAACCCTGAGATCAAGAGTTGTGCGCTCCACTGACTGAGCCGGCCAGGTGCCCCAGTGTTTCTACCTTTTTAGCTTTTTTTTTTTTTTAACTACCACTGAATTCTTTCTACTTCAACCAAACCCATTCTTTCTTTGGCTTCTTTTTAATTTTCCTGCCTACGTTAAGGAAAGCGATATCCTTGATACCAAGCTGAGAACCAGAATATATACATATGTATCTATCTGTCCGTCCATCCATCCGTCCTTATTTTATGTGGCATATTCCCCTTAACATGGGGCTTTATAAGATGGTGGTGGGTTGGGGAGAAGTAGAGCGGTGCCTGGCACTTTGTAAGCATTCAGTAGATGTTAGTTGTGACTATAACTAGATCTTACATAGTGGCTGGGAGTGTGTGCTCTGGGTGATGTCCCAGTTGCATCATATAATGTGTGACTGGGCACAAGTTGCTTAACCTTTCTGGGTTTTCCTCTCAAAATAACAAAAATACCCCCCATAAAGTGGAGTATTTCAGACAGTGCTTGGCCACGTTAAGTGCTCAAATGACCACCTTCAGGTATTTTTAGACCCGGTAACCTGGAGAATTTGGTGAGTAGTGGATTAGTTCTGCGTGCCAGTCCTTTCAGCTGAGGCTGTAGTCGAGGGCGCTCTTGTGCACAGCGGGCGCCTCAGCTGGCCTGCGGCATCCGCGCACTGTTGAGGCTGAACGGAGTTTAAGACGGGCTCTCCAGTCGCTGTCCTTCGCTGCTCGTGGCGGAGAGATCACTGTCGGTCAGCACTCAAGCCAAATCTTGCGCGAGCTCGTCCCGTGGCCTTGTTGCACTGTGCCTTGTGCTGCAGTTTTGTGGGTGATCACCCACAGCACAGGGCATCGGCGCTGTTGTAGCCTTGTCATCCCTGACAGCACCTGGCTCGGTGCCCCACCTGGGACCAGAGCTGGGCACAGTCAACAGTGCATGGAGGAATCTTGAAAGCGGGCTCAGTGACAGGCACACAGAAGTCTCATGGGGAATTTCTGAGAACTGGGTTCTTGTAGTACAGGTTTAAGAATGTTCCCCGTGGGCGCCTGGGTGGCTCAGTTGGTTAAGCGACTGCCTTCGGCTCAGGTCATGATCC